ACCTCTTGTTCATCCATACCCCAAAACCCCAAAACCCCATTATTCTTGATAACTTGAAATGTTTAGAAGTTGAAAAAAGTAGAAATTATAGAACAAATTATAATTAATTTTAATGAGAGTTGTTCTCAGTCGTGAACAAGATATATTTTATTTCACAATACTTTATTTCAGATTATGCAATAACTAGCCCACTCAAGTAGTTTACTCTCATTATAATAATAGAGGTTATCAATTATTTATTCAGAACTCCTTCACAAGTTTACTCTTGTCGAGGTCATCGAAGTAAGGGTGTTGAAGAGCCATTCTGCATGATATTCTCTTGTGAGGTTCGAGAGCAACCATTGATTGCAATAAATCGAGGCCATATTCATCGAGATTCTAAGCATGTTGAGACATGGGAATACCCTTCCATTTAGGGAAAGTTGGTTTGAAGTCTGGCAATTTCAATGCTTGAGGCCAGTTGTTGTCGTTGGGAGTTCCCTAAACTTGGAATATTTTAAAAATCTAATCAATCTCTGAGTCACCTGCAAATAAAGCTTTTCTTTGAGCCATTTCAGCAAAAATACAACCAATTGACCAAATGTCGACTGGTGTTGAGTATTATTTCTGTCCAAGAAGAATTTCTGGTGCACGATACCAGAGAGTAACAACTTCATGAGTATAAGTTTTAACGGGAAGTCCGAAGGCTCTAGCTAGACCGAAATCGGCAAGTTTGATGGTTCCATTCTTATCGATAAGGAGATTTTGGGGCTTCAAATCTCTATGCATAATTCTGTGAGCGTGACAATAAGCTGTTCCTTGTAGAATTTGATAGGTGAAACTCTTTACTTCTTGAGGAGGGAGAGGGCCTCCAATGTGGCGCATGTATTTCTTTAAATCAAACTCACAATATTCGAAGATCAAGTATAATTTATCTTCAGAGTACAAGACCTCTTTCAATCTAAAGAAATATCTAAGCAAAAAAATTTTACTCAACAACATTAGGGTGCTTGATGCCTTTTAACAGTGAGATCTCTCTAATGGCAGTTGAGGGGACACCATCATCCTCTTTTTCTAATCTTATTTTCTTAAGAGCAACTATCTGTTAAAATATCATGAGTAATGTAAATCGAGATAACAATATTTTACCTCTCCAGTAACCTTATCTCTAGCCTTATAGACTACACCATAAGTACCTTCTCCAAGTTTGTCCATTTTTTCATAACGATCAACATTAGTTGAAGTTGTTGCCTGCATTTTATTCAGTTGTTTGAAATTATTTAAATTTGAATTATTATGAATTTATCTATAATTACATTATCCATCAATAGTAAGCATATATTGCCTCTCGGGGTTTTGGGGTTTTGGGGTTTTGGGGTTTTGGGGTTTGGG